CGAGGCAGGCGCAGGCCTCCAGCTCCCGCACGCGGGCCAGCAGCTCCGAGTTCTGGGGGTGGGGCGGCCCGTGAGCCCGGACCAGGCCCGGGGGAAAGGAGCCCGGATGCCTGGGTCCTTCTGTGGCCACTGCCTGGTGGCTTCCAGCAAGTCCCTCCAGCCCCCTCCCCACCCCAGTGCCTGTTTCCCCCCCCACCATGGGGCTGAAAGGGGGTGGTGGGGAGCAGTGCCTCAGTTTCCCCCATGTCCTGGGCCTTTCACAGAGGAGGGGTCTAGGCTGCAGGGGGGAAGTTCCTCAGTTTCCCCCATGCCACAGCTCCTAGGAGGGTCTGCCTGAGTGCCTTAGTTTCCCCCATGCTCTAGGGCTGACGAGGGAGGTGGGTCTATGCCCATGCCTCAGTTTCTCCTATACCGTACCCTGGGGCTCTGGCAGGGGAGGGAGGGAATTCAGACCCAGGGAGGGAGGGCCCATGCCTCAGTTTCCCCCTCACCCTGGTACTCTCATAGGGGAGGCAGTCCATGCAGGGTAGGGTGGGGGCCGTGCCTCAGTTTCCCAGACCTGCAGCTGGAGCGCGTTGAGCCTGGAGCCCAGCTCCTGCAGCAGCCCCTCGAGGCGCCGCACCCGCCCTGCCAGCTCCTCGGGCGCCTGCTGGTCGCTGCGCACATCACCCGGGCCTGGCAGGGATGGCTCGGACAGGGGCATGGGGCCCGGTGCTCCCGGTTCCGGCTCCGGCTCCAGTTCGGGCTCCGGCTCCCACGGCAGCAGGATGGGGTCTGCAAGGCAGGAGGTGGGGTGAATATGGCAGCCGGGTGCGGGTTCGAGTCCCAGCCCTGGAGGAAGGAGTGAGATGAGTGTGTTGGGTCTCAGCCCCTCCGCAAGCGCTGGTGTCCTGGCCCCTGTACTGCTGTGAGCTGCAGGGCTGGAGCTGGGGCAGGACCCTGTGTGCCCAGGGTGTGGGCATCTGGTAGGGTCAGGGGTCAGGGGCAGATACTGCAGAGACTCTGTTTGCCCACATGCGTATGTATGCAAATGGACCCACCCATGCAGGCACACGTGTGTACATATAGACACACTCATTTTCCCCCCATTCACACACATATGGATGCCCCCTACACACACACACGTGCATGCAAACAGACCCACCTCTCCTCCATGCACACCCCCACCTCTGTCCCACACAGGCCAACACGCACGTGTAGCCATCCATGCCCCTAGCCTGCCCCCACACCGGCCAACATATACATGTACATGTGCACCCACATGGATGCCCCTCCCACACACGTGCACAGCCATGCACACATGGCCTGGACCCCACCCCTGTCCCAGAGGCCAGGGCTGCTTCTCAATGGGGGCAGCCAGGCGGATCGAGGGGCCCCAGCAATTAGCATCCAAGCTCATTAGCGGCTGAAAGGGCCAAGGCAGGCGGGGGGGGGGCTGCTGCGCCTGCCAGGGACAGGGCAGAAATTGAGGCCACAGGAAAGATGGGGGCCCAACCTGGGGGGTGACCACAGGGAAGGTAGAGGGGGGTCCCCTGGCTCCTGCTGCAACCATTAAGCCGCACGTCCGGCCCAGCACCATGGGGGGGAACCCAGGCACCCAAGCTCCCAGCCCCTCCCGCAATGCCCAGTGCTGACCCAGCCCTGGGTGCCCCCAGCTGCCCCTTGCCCCAGTTGCAAGCCCTGCCAGCTGGGTACCCCCAAGCCCCCAGCTCCCCACAACATCTGGTCCAGATGTTTTCACTCCAGCACATTTTGTGTTGGGGGGGGGGTAATTTATGCAAATCTATACAGATGTATGCACATTCTCCTCGCATCCCCCCTGGGTGCAGCTGGGGAGGGTTGTGAGGGGTCTCCT